GACGGGTGCAGCCGGCCATTGCTGGCGGCGATGTCAGCGGGGCGACTTGCGAACCGGCGGCGCCAATTAGATTGGCGCCGGTACACGTGGTGCGCGCCTTGCAATTGGGCGCCGCATTTCGCCCACGTGCGCTGCATTTCCACGCACTGCTGACGAGTTACAAGTAAAGCGCGGGCGTCCCGCGCACCGGCACCGCCCCCTCCGCGCACACGCGCGCACGATGGGGCGCACGAGAGCACGCACGGCCCGCGGCGCGGCGGCGCTGGCGCTCTGTCTGGGGCTCTGTGCGGCGGTGGTGCGTCTGGCTTGCGCGTGCCCGGCGCGGGAGCCCGGCGGCGCGGAGCTCGCGCTGCCGCCTGCGATCAGGCGCGTGGTGATCAACGTGGGGCCGCACGCGTCGCCGGTGCTGCCGGCGGCGGACGGGGCGACGGCCGTGGTCGCGGTCGAGCCCAACGTCGGCGTGGCGCACGCGCTGCGCGAGGCGTACCAGCGCGGGCGCTTCGCGGGGCGCTTCTTCGTGGTGGCGGCGGCGCTGGGCGGGGCGGGGCGCGGCGGAAGCGTCGGCTCGCTGCGGTACTACAACGGCGGCGGCGTGTCGTCGTCGCTGGCGGAGGCCGTGCGCCCCGGGGTAGGGTTTGCCGACCGGGCGCGGAACGGCCCCGAGGCGCGCTTCGGCCCCGGGAAGGGCGGCGTGGACTTCGTGCCCGTGCTCTCGCTGGAGGCCGTGCTGCGCGGCGTGCCGCGGCGCGTGGAGGTCGAGCTGCTCAAGATCGACGCGCAGGGGTTCGACTTGGAGATCGTCAAGGGGGCCAGCAGGCAGACGCTGCGTAGGGTGGGCAAGATTGTGGCCGAGACTTACCTGCCCGGCGTCGCGGAGACGAGGTACAAGGGCGTGCGCAATGAGCTGCAGAGGGACTGGGTGCCGTACATGCGCTCGGTCGGCTTCGAGCTGCAGAACCCGACGGACAGGGTCGGCGCGGAGTATGACGCGGTGTGGGTGCGCAAGTGATCGGGATCCAGATGCGGATTGGGATTGGGATCCGGATCAGGTTTGCAAAGTGCCTCATGAGCTGACGTGGCGGCGGGAATTGCACCGGCCGTTGGTGCCGGGAAACGGCACCGATTGCAGTGTGCCGCCGTCGTATACCCTTAGGGTACAACAGACCTGATGATCTTTTCACTAATTTACCGTTTCCTTGTCCATCCGTTGACGCTCAATGCCTTCATCCGCTATCCAAGTAAACGCTGACACGTGCCCATGTCCCTGCTGCCCGTCATTGTTGCCGGGAGGGAGCAACCCCCCTCCACCTTTGCTGATTCGTGTCAGTTACGAAGAACGCCTTCAGACCCGCATTCGCATGCATTCCCCCCTTTCGTCACGCAACCGGAAACACCTACCGTGCATCTTCCTCACAGTGCCAAGAGATGCGCGACGAGTCAGGTGCCATTAATCCGACGTGCCAACTTCACACGTCAAATTAATCCCATCACCACGAGACCTGCCCGCGCCGGCCCACTTCTCCGGCCCACTTCTCCCCGCCAAACAGCATCCATCACGCGCGGGGGGAGGCCCACACTGTACACTTGCCGCGCAGGGGCGTCAGAGTGCGCCCCGCACATGTCTGCAGTGCCCGCCTGCAACGCACCGGCCCCTCGCCCAGCCGGAAACCGATCGCCCAACCCCCTCCGATGCGCACTCGGCCGGGAAAGTGGGGAGGGGGGCCCTGACCACGTGCTACAAGCCTCCAACGTGGAGTGAGAGTCGCCCCAGGTAGGAAGTATGGCGGCGTTTGCCGTGCGTTTCGCCGCCGAGTAAAGTGGCCGCTGCATGGAACGAATGGCTCCTGTGAAGCCCCTCTAGGCCATCAGCCAAGAAGACGGGGTGTGCGGCCGCCCGGCGGGGGCGCGCGATCAACACGTGCGCGCGGCCACCTGTTGCGCGGCGCAGCCTCCCCGCGCGAGTGCTGCAGATACAAGACTCATTCCAGTTTACAAGGGCCGCCGTCCGCCGCGCGCAACCGCGGTCTCCACGGAGCGGAGCGCGATCGGTTGCAATTGCTGAGGTGCGGGCGGCGGGTAGCGCGAGTTGCGCGGCACGCCACGCAATCGGGACGCGCTGTCCCCACGTCCAGGCCAGGCCCGTGCGCTTCGGCCGTGCGTCTTCTGAGGGCCGTTCCTAACGAAGAGAACGGTGTGCTAGCACGCAAGCACCCTGACATTTGGCATGAATGGATTGGTTGAACGAGAGTAAAATTTTTTTTACTCCTAATAACCCCCTAAGAGCATCTCTACCGCGAGTCTATTCTCTAATCTAATGCCAAATTTCCAGCCGCAAAAAAACGACACTCTACCGCATGTTTCTAATCTATTCGAATAGATTTCTCAATAGATTAGAGCTTGATCTGGGTCTATCCGACCCCCCATTAGACCCAGATCGTGCTCTAATCTATTGAATAGAGGTGACACGAAAGGCCTCCGGATTGGCTACCGGCGAAGCTGTGCTTACCAGATGAGTATACCCGGGAAATTGAACTTCAATGCAAACCCAAACACCCCCAAATGGCATCGTCGCACAACGTTCCCCTCTCTCCGGTGCCTTCGCTCTGCTCTGCCTGCTCTGTCCGGTATGGGGCGCGGAAAGAACTGGGATGCGGAGGAGAATTGTGTTCTCGCTCGTGCATCGATTGCGGCGTCCGAAGACCCGATCGCTTGAGGCGGTTGAGTGCCGCATCGAAGTCGCGGTTGAGATTTCCTCTTTTCCCGCTCCTTGATCCTAGTCTAATGAGAGAAGGAATTGTACCTGGAAAACCAGGCAGCGTCCCAGAGGCGACGAGGTAGGACAGGTTCTCGTCGTCACTGGAGTCAGGAGAAAAAGTCGGCGGAGGGGAGTCGTAGTTGCGAGAAGTTGCTATGGTAATAACAAGGGTAGAACGGAATGAGCGCGGCGATGCTGAAATGATATGTACTGCGCGGTAGAGTTGGGCCGCGGCTCTATTCTAGAACATCTATTCACCAATGGAGCAATAGAGTTATCCAATAAACATTAAGCACTTGGCGAGATATTTTTGATTAGAGAGGCATATACGGTCATGCTGTAGAGATGCTCTAAACCCCTAAATACCCTAAATACCCTAATCCCCAAATCCCCTAAATCCCCTAATCCCTAAATCCCCTAATCCCCTAATCCCCTAAATCCCCTAATCCCCTAATCCCCTATTTCTAATAATTTTTTCAACCAATACATTCATGCCAAGTTTCAGGGTGAGCTGCATGTCGCATCGCAGCATCTCCGCCCACAAACGCTTTCCGTTCAAACCACGCGCGACTCGCGGCGCAAGCACCACGCCGCATTGCGTTCGCCGCCTTGCTTCCCGCCCGTGCGCAGCAATGCGTGCATCCCTGCCGACGCCTGCGCCGCCCATCCTAAGCCCGCGCGTCTAGATGTGGGCTGCCGCCTCCGTTGCGCGCGCCCTAACCTCGACGTGCTGTGTGTCCTCCCCGCACAGGCAGCGCGCCAAGATGAGCGGCAGCAGCGGACGCGGGATGGAGGGCGGAGGCGCGCTCGAGGAGCTAGGGGTGCTGCTGTCGCTGGTGGCGATACGCGGCGGCGGTGCAGCGGCGGCGCGACGGCTAGGCACGATGTATCCGTTCTCGCAGGAGTTCGAGCTTCTGTTGGCAGCAATGGAGGCGCTGGCGGTGCGTTGGGGCGCGGTGGGCGAGGGCGGCGGGGAAGGCTCTGATGGTGGGACACGGGCTGGGCCGGCGGCGGCGCTGGCGACGGCGGGCCAGGTGGGCGAAGGCGAAGAGGCGGCAGAGGCGGCGTGCGTGTCGGTGCGGAGGGTGAGCGCGGCTCGGAACCGGGCGAGCGTGAGGCGAAGCCGCGAGAGGAGGAAGGTCGGAGCCGGGCGAGCGCGAGGCGAAGCCGCGAGAGGAGGAAGGTGGTGTGATGCGGGAGGCGCGGAAGACGGCGTGGATGGGCGGCGTGGAGCGCGAGAACGAGCGGCTGGTGCGGCGGACGAGGGCGCTCGCGGAGAGGGTGCAGGTGGAAGGAGGTTGTCGGATGGCAGAAACTTGGCAGGCCGCTGCTTGTTGCCTGTCATGAGAGCCATACGTGCACACGTAGCACACGCATGACAGCGGAATTAGATCATCTTTATTCACCGCCGTCTCACTGATCCCTCCCATTCCCTTATAAGGTAGAGACTCGATAGGCATCAGTAAACGGACGGCATCGATCTTGCACCACAGGTTATGGACCCGAACAACACCCCACTGCAAGACGATCCCAGGCACCTCGAAGATCGCCTTGGACGAGATCAGGAAGACGACAACCACGGCACCACCAGCCCCGTCGCTCCACTACATCTCAGTCCGCACACTCGCGTAGAGGCACCTGGTAGAGCTCTGGATAATGCCGTGGAGCCAGCTCCGGACACCTCCGTTGAGCCCATCCCAAGAGCTCCGGACACCCCCGTAGAGCCATCCTTAATTGCCCGGCCAAGCTAAGCCTAATCCGCAAGAAATGGAGGCCACAACTCTCGCGATCGAGACAAAAAGGCAGGACAAGCTAACCCCCGCTCTACCCAGCGAAGAAACCAACTAAGGAAAAAAAGAAGCGTCCGTACCAACCACGGAACGCACGTTGGCGCACCGACCCGCGCAACTACACGCCTCTCCCAAAACACGGCATGACGGCCCCAAAGCCCGGAAGAAGGCAATGGACCACCACCATTGACCATAAGCGTACATTGACGGGCCGCACCCACCCGCAGCGCCACTACATAACCGGACAAGTCTCTACAGTAGAAGACGAGTACGACTACACTGCAGTACACCAGACCCTCGATGAGGACGAACCTGAAGGGGATCATCCACATCTCGACCGGTACGAATAGGCAGATCCGGATCCCTGCCATTGCCAACCCCGCACTGCGCTCCACCCATTTCGCGGCCGACATTGCCGCGCAATGGGGAGAAGTCAGGTTCACGCCCACCCAAGCGCTCATCCTCGACTCGAGCACGAGCCCACTGCAGACGGTTGTCCAAGCACGGTTCACCAAAGGCATGTACTACCTGCAATTGGCAAAGGTGAAAAGACACAGCATGGAAGAACGGACTGGCAGTCCGGGCAGTGCCCCATCACGGTCAACAAGAAATCCCCGAAAACAAAAATAAAAAGACGACGGCTAAACCTAAACCCCGCCGCACGCCAACAATCGGACACGTGGCGCCGAAAGTGAAAAAGGGCCATGTCAGGCAGAACCCCGCACCGCTGCCACACCCCGGCACACCCCGCAGGCGAAAAGGACTCTCACCACTACCATGTTGTCGTGCACTGAGGCCACATGTGTCAGCCTCAGGCAGAGCACGCGTGTTCGGAACGCGGGGTGAGTGGGATACGGGAGACCACCTGGTGATAACCGGCAACGGGGTCCGGGGCGCGCGTGCGCGGTAGGTAGAGTGGTACGAAAGAAACAAGACACGGAGCGTAGCAAGAAGTAAGCGGGGCGAAGCGACAGCGAACGCGCGTAGGGAGCGGTAGAGTGTAGTATAAACACCCCCAACGGAGAGGGGTGTATACTCAGCTCTTGCGGAGACCCTCGAGAGGGAGAAGACAAGGGAAGACGGACACCCGCTACGGAACCGGAGCACGGGCCCGGGTAGCGTGGTAGAGCGGGATCGGGGGAGGACGCGCGCACGCGCGAGCGGATCGACGCCTCGACGCCCCGGGGCGGTACTGGGTAACGATCCAGTACCGACGGGCGGAGGTGGATCCGGCTCGTGGGCGTGTGTCGCGCGTCCTCTACCCGCACTCGGTGTCGTCTAACGCGCGCGAAGGCGAAGGCGCGCGGTTAGAATAAGCGGGCGTCGGCTCCCCCGCGGTCGGTCGTCGACAAGTCCGTCCTTGTCGCCTTTTCCCGCCGCCCGTCCGCTCCATATTTAATGTACAAAATAATATATCATAATAGTACAGTACCAATGTACTGTAGCGACGTACTGTAGCGGTCGGTCGACACTGTAATACTGTCAGCCATCGGGGCTGACAGTACACGTGTGTGTGCGCTCTTCGGTCCCGCGCGTACACGTGTACACGTGCGCCCCCTGTACTTGGGGGTACACGCGGTGCTACTGTAGAGCATCGAGCCCTACAGTACCTGATCCGATTCGGAGTTGATCTAATCTAAAATAAAGCCCCCGAGGGGGGGTTATGCTACACGGCCCCCCCCCACAAGTGTGAACGTCCGCGTTCACATGTGCTTGTAGGGCGGCTCGTGCTTCCCCCCTCGATCTAAGTGTCGTGGCTTCCCCTTTCCGTTCACATTCCTTCCGTTGGCAGTCTCTCCTCTCCGTCATCGCGTGTCCCCGTGTCGTTTCTTCGTGGACCGTGGGATCCTGTCTTGCCCTGCCATCGAGCGGGCTCTCGGCGTTCTCGCACAATCTCGAGATTTGGGTCCGGCTGACACTGTCTCGGCATGCCACCGCCATCGGTTCCGAAACCGCCGTCACCGCCGCCGCCGGCCGTTGCCGCGGCGGTTCGAGTCGCCACTACGGAGGCATCGTCGCTTCTGTTGTCGAACGCGCCTCCTCCTGACGCGTGCGCCGCTACGCCAGCGCCGACATCCCCCTTTCAGAGGACCCGCCCGTCGACGGAGTCCACGCTGTCCGTGGAATTGACTGACGCCCCTACACGCGTTGTCGACGCACCGCATGGGGGCGAGTCCCAAGCCCCTCGTCCCACCGTGGCTGAGGGGGCGGCTG